AATTCCAAAAAAACTTATATCATACTTAATCTAAATTTCTAATATGTTTCCAAAACACATTAATATATTATTGAATACCTATAATAATTAGTTATGATATGAATAATTAACTCAAATATTTAGTCTAATATATAGTGTTATTTGGCTGTTACTAATGTTTATGATTGACACTACATTTGAAGTTAAGTTACGAATAAATTTGTTTTGAAGTTTAAATAATGTTGTTTTTTTAATTTTCAATATTACTTCTTACGTTTATATAATTGTTAGCTGTTAATTTTAATTTTTTATGTTTCATTATGTATGATTTTCGTTCATACAAGACTTTAGTTTATCATTAATCATGATATATTTAGTGTTGTCACATATAGTTCAATGACAAATTTTATATTGTTGATAGATGAGTTTCATAATATTATTTAGAAGCTGAACAATACGGTTTGTAGAAGCTAAATACACAAATTAATAAAAAGATTGAAAATATAGTGAATTTAATTGAGTATAAATTAGTATTTTTAGAATCGATAACCCAATAAGTATCCGAAACCGAAACTATTTTGGGTTCAATTGGATTTTGGACATGTTACTAAATCCGAACCGAACCCGATTAAACCCGAACCGAATCCGACCCGAATTTTTATAATATCCGAATGGGGTTGAAATTCATGAATCCGAAAACCCAAAACCCGAATGAACCCGAACCGAAACCCGATTGGGACCCCGAATGCCCAGCCCTAGAAAATGGATTCAAAAACCGATAATTCATTTTTATGTAGCTAAAAATCTGAAAACCAAAACCATTTAAACCTAATTCTTTTTAAAAATTATACTGATATATATTTTAGTAAAAAAAAATATATCACCCAAAATCAAATCCTAACTAAACCATTTATTTTATAAACTGAAAACACCGATCTAAAACATTTTTATCTATTTTTAATCCTGATACGAGGAGAAAAAAACATTTTTTTTTATTGAAAACCAATATTTCGAAAAACCAATAACCAGGCCCAGTTTAGTATATATCTCGAAGCCCATGAAATCATATTCACATCGAGGGATAATTATCATTCCATATATAAAGTTAGACGCAAATATTTATTAGTTTTAAAACTTAGAGGAGTTTTCTATAAATTAGAGAAACAAACACATCGACAGCTCTACATTATATAACAAAACAACACGGTTGCTCTCTCTCCGGCTAACCTCTCGACGGAAAAAGAAAATGGCCAAGGCGCGAAAGCCGAAGAACGAAGAAGCTCCTGGCGCGAAGCCGTCGGAGAACACCGGAGCCAAAGTCCTTCACCAGAAGCTCTGCCTCTCTATCGACTTCAAAAAACGCCGAATCTACGGGTACGTTGCCCCCTCTCTCACCTTCTAATCCTCCTTCATAGAAACGAGTTCGAGAATGCGATTAAGTAGCTGGTTAGTGCAATTCGAGATGAATAAACCCTAATTTCGGGAAGAATTTGAATTCTCGCATCGGTAGTATCTTTTAGTTAGCTGCTTAACGCAATTCGAGATGAGTAAGCCCTAATTAGAGGAAGAATTTGAATTTTCGCATCGGTAGTATCTTTTGATTAGCTGCTTAATGCAATTTGAGATGAGTAAGCCCTCATTAGAGGAAGAATTTGAATTTTTCGCATTGGTAGTATCTTTTGATTAGCTGCTTAATGCAATTGGAGATAAGTAAACTCAATTAGAGGAAGAATTTGGAGTTTTGCGTTGGTAATATCTTTTGATTAGGGTTTGTTGGCTTTTCTGTAGCTACACGGAGTTAGAAGTGAGCGTGCCGGATATTGGGATTGTGGGATTACATGCGGAGAATTTGGTGATAGAGAGTGTTTTGGTGGATGGGGAACCTACTGTGTTTGAGTATTATCCTCACCATCAGAACTCTGAGACTGAAAGTAACTGGAACTCGGTATCAGACCCTGGTTCAGCAGCTGATGCTGCGGCCGTGGAATATGTTGGGGTGCTTAAGAGGGAAGACACAGATAATCTACTGATCAACTGTTGCAAGCCCTCTAAGGATTTATCTGAGCAGCTGGATAACGTGACTTTAGAAAATGGTTCACAGTCGTCCGGGGAGGCTAAACAGGTTGGTTATTCCTTCTCTCCATCAATTATTTTGACTTCGAATGAGCTGCCTTTAGTGGTCTGAGTTACATATCTGAAACCGATGATTGTTTGATTATTACACTTTGGTTTTTGGTAAAGCAACATGGTGGCTATAGGTATTTAGGCCTTGTTTTCACCTTTATTGTGTGTTGTGGACCAAAGATAACACTTACCATGCTATCCTTTATCGCACTTGAATTGCTAAATATGGCTTTACCATATTGGTAGGTGACATGGAAACACTAATGCAATTGACATTGTAGCTATCAATGGTTGTTTATTCATGATTCATATGTTCTGCTATGGGTTACAAGTGAGAGCTTTCTTTCCTTTGGTTAACTATCAATGTATGCTCATCTAATGCAGAATGTTAAGTTGATTCGGATTAATTACTGGATAGAGAAAACAGAGTCAGGAATTCATTTTGATGAGAACATCGTACATACTGATAACCAAATTAGACGTGCCCGCTGTTGGTTTCCTTGCAAAGACGATGAGTATCATCGTTGCAGGTATTCATTTTAGTGATTTAACATTGTCATTGTCTCTTGAGAACAAGAGTGGGTATATCTACCTGTTTACCCTTTTTCATGTGTTATATTTTGTGGATGCAGTTTCTATTTGGAATTCACTGTTCCACACAACTTTGTAGCTGTCAGTGTTGGGAAATTACTTTACCAGGTAAGCTGGTATTTCTTTCATAGGTAAAGGGAATAGAGGAATTACTAGGTTCTCATTCGGGAATTTAAATGCAAGACAGAATCCATTATAGATTCCTGAATATGCTTATTGAATGAAAGAACTTAGAAGAAAGCAGTGGTTTGCATGACATTTATACGTTATCATAAAAAAGTGTGCTCAAATTTGGTTTACATGTTCCCTACCGAATCTTAGCGCTTTTCTATGAAGCTGGAGCGGGTGATTTTTTTATAACTTCATTTTTCAGGTTATGTGCAAAGAAGATACTACCCGAAAAACGTATGTTTACGAACTAGCCACTCCTATTGCTCCGCGGTGGGTGTCTTTAGTTGCGGGACCATTGGAAGTCCTTCCAGATCAGACAAATTTTCTCATATCTAACTTGTGTCTGCCACATGATCTCTCAAGGCTTCGTAATACAATGGAGTTTTTCCATGAAGCTTATAGGTCAGTAGATTTGTACCCTGGCGACTTGTTGTAGTAAAACTGAATCTAAATATTTTCTCTTTCTACTGGACGATCAACTTCTGCAGCTACTATGAAGATTATTTAAGTGCGAAATTTCCATTTGGATTCTACAAGCAAGTCTTTTTACCTCCTGAAATCGT